CATTTTATCTCAACCCTGATGACCTGCATGCAATAAATCCACAATTTTACTACGTAATTTATAAGGAATTACAGCTCTATTCCTACTTATAATGCAATCATCAACTATTGACAATTCTTTTTGTAGGAATCATGTCTGTTTTTTCAATTTCTTTCACCCGTTAAACTCAATTTTAACCGACTTAAATCTTTGTCTTTCAAAGTATTCAATTTAAGATCCTCCCAATTGGTTGGACACCTTTTAGCATATACGAAAGAGAACAAACCAATGCTTTCTCTATCCATTATTTTATTTTTATTAAATTCAAGATCTAAATATTTTTTTTTATCTTTGTATCATATTTTTTTTTTAAATTAATTAAAAAATTTTTTTTGTTTTGCATAATTTTGATTTTGGTTAAAAAGAAATAAAAATTCTTATAATTGATTTTATCAGGGATCCAAACCGAAACGAATATCGGTTCAGGTTCGGATAAAAATAACGGTTAAAGGTTCAGGTTCGGTTCGTATAAAATAAAAATATCGATTCGGTTTGAACACTTTTGTATTCAAACCTATATTCGTATTATGTATAGGGAAAAATATTTTTATTTATTTTATAATTAAAATAAAAAACAGATACATAAAAGTAAAACCTTCATGTTTATTAATTGCACATTATAAAATTATATTTAATTTATAAATATAACAAATAAATATCAATGATTAATTTTAATATGAACAATTAAAATTTTTTTTATTAAGCCGCACAATTAATATATTTTCAAAATTCGTCTCACTCAAATTACATCTATAAGGATATAATATAAATTTAATTGTTGGAAAACATCTTTCCACACTAACTTGGGCAGTAGTGTTGTCAAAAAACCCGATTCGGGTCGATTTTAAAAAACGACCTGATTAAGATTATAACCAGAATAACATTATGCAAGCATAAAGATTTTACTCATAGCTGGCAGAAATGCTTGGACATCTATTTGCCAAATCTCGATGCTTACATAATATTATTTTGCCTAAGATCTTAATCGGGTCGTTTTAAAAAATCGGGCATTTTGACAACACTATTGGGTAACCGGCACTGCCAATATGATATTAGATTTGATGTGTCATTTTACTATATATAAATAATATATATATTGGTTTAATTTTTCTCTAGGCATTATATTTTATAAGTTTAAAATATTTAAAAAATGTTGTAAAATGGCAATATATCAAAGTTTATAAAAATTATGACTGACACTTATCAATCAAATGTTACTGATAATAATCTTTAAAACAATTCGAATATAATTAAAATTTTGCAATATACTAGTAATAACTTACACATTATTTTATAAGCATAAGATTATGAGACTCGAACCGGTTTATAGGTATTTTAGCGGTTCAGTTCAGGTTTGGCTAGAATCTTTTTAGTTTAGGTTCGATAAAAAATACCGGTTTTAGCGGTTTAATGGTTCAGGTTCGGTTTGGTATCCCTGGTTTTTGTTAGTAAAAAGAAATTTGCATTATAATTTTTGTGTAGTCAAATTTTTTTTGGTACCATGGAAATTAATCTCGTCTGGTGGACTTCAGCGACTATTACATCCAGTTGACGCTAATTCCTAATAATAATAGACTCAACATCGTTGCCGTCCGCGGAAGGAAAACATGATGCAATCTCAGGGCGCCAGAAAAAGACCTTGCTTCAATTGCAACGAGGACGATCACATACGTAGTCAATGCGAATTACTGACTAGAGGGGCCAAGATTCTGCTGGGAATCCGTCAAGACAATACGATGGGTAACTCCAGCGTAACCGGCAAAAGGTTGGCCCGAGAGGTTTACGGGGACCGTGTACCGCCAGCTATGTTCTGGGGTGACCCGCGACCATATCAGGATCCACAGCAGCGTAACAAAACTCAGGGCAGTATGGGGCGGAGGCTACAACTTCGCAAAACACGGGGAGTATTCTACTGTAAGCGATGTCCGCGAGCGTGCTGAAGGTTCCAAGCATCTCGGCCCTCTTATTCGAACCGGGGGTGAGCAACGCTGTCGAATTGTGGGGGAACACCATGTCGGTAAGAGAATTATAGTTGATATACATAGTAATAACTTAGCGAGATTTATTTGTATAACCCATATTAACACATCAAGTATATTTAGTTGCAGTTTACAAAATTTACATACACTACATAGTTATTCTTTATTATTATATATATATATGAATATTTATATTGTTATATGAGTGTTTTCATTTTTTTTTTCGGGATGAGTGCCTCTGTAAAGGGGTGGCATGTCATCGCTTTGCTTATTTTATAAATAATTACATACATTTATATATATGAAATCAAGACTTTTAAATATTGTTGATTGGTGAAAAAAAGAAAATATTATTATTAAAAACTAAACGCCAATCATTTATTATTTTATTTTTGGTTTGTAATAATTTCCATCGCGAAAATTTTATACACTTTTGGAAATTGTACTTTTTGAATATTTTTTTTTGGTTATAAAAATTATTTTAATATTTCTGAATTTTAATTATTAACTCTGTAATTTTAAATAGAATTAATAAAAATAACATTTTTAAAAAACATATTCCTGTGTCGTCACAATCATAAGTTTGAAGAAACCACTGCAGTTAAGAGGTTAAGATAACTTTATTAGAGAGTAAGAACGTGTTAAGTTAAGAACTTCTTAAGATATGACAAGTAGCAACTTTACATTTAAAAAATAGTAAGCTATAAGGCGCTATTTTTTTGAGAAAGTTGTTGTAGCTATAGCGCGCTACTTTTTAAAAGAAGCGTTAACAGCATTGAAAAAATTGTAATAAAATTGATAGATTATATTTTTCATAAGAATTGTAGTAGTAATATAATTTTTTAAATAAAAAAAACATCCCTAGAAAAAATACCTAAATTTATATAGGCTTGAACACGGAAAAGATTTATAACTAGTAATGGTGAAATTAAGAGTGCGAATAGGAATTTATAAAAATACATTAAATTTGAAAAAATTATTAAATACGTTACCACGCTGCCAATTTATTAGACGGTGGTGCATTAGCTCGCCTATAACCGCCCAAGTAAAAATATAACGCCGCCAATTAATATCTACGCACAGACAGGTCTATAATGATAGATAACAAATTGGCTCAAAAATTATGCACTCGTTTTGGATTAATTGAAATATATTATTTTATATAGACATTCGCCTTCCTCAGGGGCGTCGCTAGCTTTTTACAAAAGAGGGGTGCTAAAAGGTGATAATTTATTTTTAAAAATTATAAATTTTTTAAATTCTATAATATAAAATTTATGGGGGATTTCGCTTCTTAAATTGCCCTTGCTTGGCCTTTGCTCGGGTTATACATATATTTATTATCTTCTGATACATGTATTCGCTAATCAAAATAATAACACAAATATATCTAACTCAAATGCTTTATAATTTTATAACTAATAAAAAATTCTTAAAAACCTTTAGATTTACTTACCAAAAAAAATAAAAAAGGGTAATTTTATGACAAATCGACTAAAAATGCCATTTTACGACAATTTTTAAATGGATGAAACTTGGAATGAAGGTTAAATAGATTGTATATTATACAAATCAAAATTTTAATGCCCTAGCTCAAATATATCCCGAGTTATGGGCCTTTCGACTAGAGCCTTTTCCTCTTTTAACGAATCTTATACTCAAAATATTTTTTAAAATAACAATTTTTATATCATTTTGTAGCCCTTAAAAATCTTCATAAGAAAATGCAAAAATTACTAAAAAATTTCTTCAATGTCGTTTTATTTCCGATAAAACAAAAAAATTATTTTTAAAAGTTCTCCATTTAAAATATGAAACTCATGAAATGTGTTTATTAACTATATATTTAAGTAATAATATTAATGGAGAAAATAAGAATTTAAATTTTATTTAGTTTTTATAATTTTAGGTATAGAACAATCAATTATAAAAGGCGTTTGAAACGATAAAACTCTTCAAATATGTTTATTACCAATACTAATATATTTAAATATTTAAGTAAAAAATATTAATGGAGAAAATAAGAATTTAAATTATATTTAGTTTTTATAATTTAGAATAATAAATTTAGAGGGCGTTATATTTAAGTTAATTATAATATATTTTTTAAATAAAAATATACATTTTATATTATAAATAACCATTAATATTTCTATAAAATTATTATATACACTAGAAATATAATACTTATTTTTGTACCACAATAAAAAGAAAATTTATTATAATTATCTTTATAGATAGCACCCTCTAATTGCTTTTTTTATTCCTAATTATAAAAACTAAATATAATTTAAATTCTTATTTTCTCCATTAATATTTTTACTTAAATATATAAATATATTGGTAATAAACACATTTCATGAGTTTCATCATTTTAAATGGGGCAATTTTCAAAATAATTTTTTTTGTTTTACCGGAAATAGATGATATTTTTAAAATATTGCATTTTCATAAAGAGAATTTTTAGGGCTACAAAATAATATATAATTTGTTTAGACCAAAAATATTTTGAGTATTTTAAAATTCGTCAAAAGAAGAAAAGGCTCTTATTAAACTTTAAGGCTCATAACTCGAGATATATTTGAGCTAGGGCATTAAAATTTGGATTTATATAAAGTATACATTAACCTTTATGCGAAGTTTAATTCATTTTAAAAATGGTCGTCCCAATCACTGGTAGATTTGTCCGAAAAAGCAAAATTTACAATAATAAAATTTATTAATCCTACAAAAAAAATAATATTTATTTAAAATGGGCCCTAAAATTTCGTAAGAATTAAATTAAATATTAATGTATTTGTTTAAATGGATGCTAATTATTTAAAAATTGATTGCTAATTTTATAAAAATAGGGCATCCATTCAAAATTGGTGAGCTCCTGACCATCCTGTATTTTTTTTTATAATATCGTACTATTTTATTGATGGATTATCAAATCCATTCTATCATTTCAAAAAAACATTATTTTTAAATATACATAAGAATAATAACAAGACATGGATTTTTACAACAGTTCGCAGGGTTCCGATTACATACAAAAGATCTTAGGCCTAAATAAGGATTCCAATACTTCCGTATCAAACCCTCTATTGACTTCTTCATCTTTACAACCTGTTCCTGTGTCTATACTGCCCACCCCCTCTATGCCACTTGTTTCTACTTTACTTTCAAATTCCCAACCAACCTGCTTTGATCGCATTCCCAAAACGATGAAACGCCTAGTTCGGCTTGCCGTCTCTGCTTTCCATGGACTCGAACAGGGTGTAGTCATTGATCAACTGATACACTACCCTTGTTTGCGCGAAGACCATCTTTCCCAACTTGTTAGGTTTGAACGTAAAGCCCTTCGCACTGCACTCGCACCTCTCAAGGCGGATCGATTTATCAAGTCCCAAATGCGGCTTGTCACCGATCGTGATTCAACTACTGATCCTATCATAGCCCCTATTTCCGAAACGCTTCCTCATCCAAACTTTAAAAACCAGCAGTTTACTTACTTTTATATTGACTACCACGCAGCACTAAACGCAGTTCGCTACAAGCTTGATGCAGTTGCGGAGGCCCTTGAACAGGAGGAACGAGCTGCCTCTATCCGTTCCACATTCGCTTGTGGAACTTGCGAAGCCTGTTACACGGACCTCGACGTTGATCAATTGTTTGACTCGGAAAGTGGGGAACTATTTTGCCCCGCCTGTGATTCTATCCTGCGCATGCTTGGGGATGAGCCCATCCTAGAAACCAATCAAATGGCTAAAGGGTCTGCACCTTCTTTAACTAAAAGAGAGGCTCGTAAGATGATAACCCTTTTCAACACTCAGCTGGAACCATTATTCTCTTTGCTACGTAAGGCGGAGAATGTGGTACTGGCCCCCCATTTGATAAAGCCTGAACCCGTGGATATCGACATTGACAATCTCGCAAACGCCGTCTCCTCTTATTCCTCTGCTTCCGATCTCGGCGGAAATATCGATATGGCTAGTAATAATCAGCAAAGGTATGTATTAATGTGATATAATTTTATCTTTAGGAACATTTATTTTAACGCTTGTTAGTGCTTCAATTAAATTATATATTTGGCCATACATATATCATTATCGAATTCTCGATCTTTTTCAAACAGATAATTAGTAATATTTGGGTCAAACCGAACATTTATAATTTTCTTGAATCTGTTTTTAGGTTTAATTATTCTTATTGTAATTTATGACCATTTTAAGTGAGAACTTTTCCTCTGAGTTTTTCACTGGTTATAGTTTTATTTCTAATCTAATATTTTAGAACCAGAACTATAAAGGGTTTTTACTATCTTACACACAACTTATATAAATATGTTAGCCAATCAAAAATAAAGGCACATTTTCCACCGACTCCTTTTAAAATTGTTAAAAATTTCTGGAATTATTTAGATAGGTAAAAAAATGAGAAAGTCGTTTATTTTGGCTCGCTATCACATCTGGTTCCCGAGATATAGGGGCTCATAGGTGCAAAAAAAGAGCCACTTTGGAATCTGTAAAATTTTTAAAATGCTCATATCTCAAAAACTATTTATAGTAAAAAAATATATAATTATTTAGATAAAAAATCTCTAAAGGGCTAATAAAAAACAATAAAAATTAGCAATTTGAGCCTTTAACTTCTTGTTTACCTATATTGCTTTGCCTGTGTTTTTAAGCAAAAAAGAGTTTGTTTTAGAATTTTTGTTTGGTTTTATTTAGACATTTTTAATAATTAAATATCTATACGATTTCAAAACCTTAGCGACGCTATCGACTCTTCCGAAATATACCTTTTTACCAAAAATTGAAAAAAGGCGCTAATGGTTGAAAAATATTTCTTTAGGAAAATGAAAATATTGATATGTTTATAAGAAATGTGATAAAATCAGTTCTGCCCCCCCCCCCACCATCCTTAAAAGTTGTACATTTTTTAGATCTCCACTTTGCTACTATAGCGAATGACTTATTAGCTCGATAATGTATAATAGCTGCATTAAAAAAGAATAATTTATTAGGCATATTATCGATTATATTTTATGAGTATATTATTTTACAAAATTAACTGTTTAAAACAATCTCTCTTTCTGCATAATATTTTTAACTTGCCCTTTCAGATTAATTTTAATTAATTCAAACCGTCTGCAGCTTATTATTTTATCGTCTGTCTACCAATAACATTCGGGAGAGAGTGCAAAAACATATATTCTAGGTGTAGATCAATTAAAATTTTATTCTATATCACAGATGGATGTACAAAATGTTAAAATATCAAAATGTTGTAACCCATTTTATCTACAAAGACATGCTTATTATCGCAAGAATCTAAGAAAAATTCTATCCTGGATGACCCAAAAAAATTTAACATTCAATTTAGATATGTTAATATGCTCTTCATGCCGACAAAAATTAGCAAACATTCCTTCTTCAAATGACAATGTATATATTGATCCTCCTCCTTATTTAATTAATCAAGAGGCTATTGATAACATTAATGTATCCCAGCAATCAATTGGGGAATCTCCCATTAAAAGAAAACGCTTATTTGAAAAGAATGTCCGATGAAAAAAATATCTGGAGTAAAAAAAATTTGAAGACTAAAATTATACAATTATCTCAAATGATGAAAAATTCGATGAAATTACCATCAAATTAGACAGTAAGAAAAATTGTAAAAGAATTTAATATTTTATATCATATGGCGTTAAAATCAAAAGGTTTAAAAGAAAAGGGGTATTTTTCAACACCTAAACCCTGTAAGACAATAGATGCCGCCGCTATTGTTTAAACTTTATAAGATAATTCAAATATTAAAATTGGATTCTCTAAATTTTGTGATCTTCGTCCCGAAATTTGTGTATTTGTTGTCATCAGTGTACCCATTCAATAATCAAAACACAAAATTTGCTGATGAGTTTGCCCAAAATTACTTTAAATGAAAATTTAATTAAGATTACATATAAGGATATATTGCCAAAATTAATTTGTAATCCAGCATTACCAAAATGCTTTTTTGGTGATTGTGCTCAATCCATGGATCTTCTAATTTAAAGGCCATGAAATATTATATTCAAGTGATATCGAATATAATACTTACAAGCATTGAAAGAAAGAAGGAAGGAAGAGTACAGATCTTTTAACTATCACTTCATCAACCTCCAATTTTTTAGAAACTTTTCGAAAAGCTAAATATTTTACTATTACACTCATTTTTAACCAAGCAGCAAACAATATTCTTGAATTCTTTTAAAATTAAAATGAAGGAGAATATATCATTCAGGCAGATTTTGCTGAAAATTATGCCTTTGTAGTTCATGATGAAGTGCAGGGGTTTCACTGGAATAAATCTCAAGTTACCATTCATCCTTTTGTGATCTATTACAAATCACTTAATAATTTAAATCATTTAAGTTCCTTAATTCTGAATCTATCGTCCATAATACAATTGCAGTTCATTTATTCTAAAAATATTTAGTTCGTAACAGGGAAATTTCAATGCCGCCCAAAAAAAATCTTATACTTTTTAGAAGGAGCAGCAGCACAATATAAGAATCACAAAATTTAATCAATCTTTGCCACCATGAAGATGATTTCGGAATAAAAGCTGAGTGGCATTTCTGGGCTGTGACGGGGCCAGAGGTACAATCAAACGTTTAGTGGCCAGGGCTAGTTTACAAAGACTTGTTTCAGAACAAATAACTTGTTGTAAAGAGTTTTTTGTCTATTTTAAGGAATATAGTAAAGGTATAAGATGTATAATTTATTAATATATATTATAATTTTTTTTATTAAGGAATAGTTTTTCCTATGAAGACGATGGGTTTGACTAAACTGCAAATGCTTATATAAATTTTTTTGATATATACTCTATTAATTGAAATGAGTTTCATTTTCTTATGATATAAATAATATAAATAAATAGCTTATAAAAATTAAATTATTAGATATATTCAATAATAAAGGAATATACTTTAATAGTTATATTTTCTTTTATCTTATAATAAATAATCATTTAATATATAATTATATTAAAAATAATCATTTAATATAATTATATTAAAAATAATTATAATTACATTTCAAATTTCAATAATATTAAATCTGCATTGGCGTATGATTATTTTATGAAAAAAATTTTAAAATTATTTTATGTTTTAATATATTTTAAAATCATAATATATTATTACTTAAAAAGGTTTTTGACTAAACTACAAATGCTTAGGTAAATTGAATATATCTAATAATTTAATTTTTAAAAGTTATTTATATCTTAAGAAAATGAATCTCACTCCAATTAATAGAGTATAAGTAAGAACTAAATAAATTTTGCTGAAGATAAAAAAAGCTTATAAATGAAAATCTCTACATTAGTTTTGTCAAATTAAGTGGTTACCATTAACTAGCTACACTTTAGCTAAAAAATATTTATAACTAGTTACATTTACAAAATCGTAACTTTAGCTGGCTAAATTTTTACCTGAGCATTTGCAATCTAGGCATTTGTAGCTTAGTCAAACCGGAAGACGATTATGAGAAAGAGCGAATGCGAATAATTTTAGAAGAGAGATTCAATAACGTGTACAAAACCAGGAACGCAAAAATTTCATACTTTTCATCGAATTTCTTAGGATAAAATTGAAGCAAAATTTTATTAAAACTCAACAAATCGCAAATATTAAATATAACATTTCACTCGCATATTAATGCTAATTTACTATATAAAAAATGAATGGATATATATTATGTATCTCTGACAATCAATGGTGGATGGCCATGTTTTAGAAAAAAAAAATCGAAAATGGCCCTCGAATTATTATACATATCCTACCTTGATTGACAAATTGTGGATACATAAATCACAAATTTTTGATATGGTCAGTCCTTCAACTGCTACCGACTAACATATACTTTACATAAGGATGAGACAATTAAAATTATTCTTCTTTTTAATTTATTTGCTTAAAATATATAATTATTTATATCTGACTAAATTTTGTTTCCAATATATTTTTAATTATGGAATGAATTTGATTATCCATCTATATTTCTATATTATTAATAAAAATGAATAATAAAAAAAATTATACGAAAGATATTTATTATTGGAAATTTGTTACATCATTAGTGTCTAATGGGCATTTGCCCATACTGCCCCTCAGTTTAATTAGTATATTTAATAGAAATTCGAAATTTTTTAGTATAAAAAGTGAAAATATCCTGTTATTGGTAAGGTAAGTTAGCAACAAAATTTTAACCATAATCCGTAATTTCATGAAGCGCCATTATTTTTTTTCCATTTTTGGTAAAAATATATATTGGAAGAGTAGATAGCGTCGCCCAGGTTTTAACATCATATATATTTATAAAATATGTCTAAATAAAAAGCAAAATAATTTTTCTATATAATATAGATTAAGCAAAATATAGGTAAACCGGAAGACTCAAATTGGCTCCAATTTTTTTATAACCATTTAGAGATTTTTATTATCTAAGATATGATATATTATATTTTTTCTTGCTATAAATAGTTTTTGAGATATAACCCTTTTAAATATTTTACAGATTCTATAGTAGCTCTTTGCTTGTACCTATGAGCCCCTATATCTCGAGAACTAGGTATGTTAGCGAAACGGCTTTCTCATTTTTTTACCATCTAAATAATTCCAGAAATTTTTAATTTAAAAGGGTTCGGCCGAATCGTGATTGATTTGACGTAATGGTCCCAATATTATTTTCGGCAATGTCTTAGTGGTAGGCAGAGTGAATTCGTTATTTTTTCATCGTTAGTGCTTCCAATCGTTCGGCCAACTTCACGGAGCTTATTTTTTTGAGATTTATTTTGATGTGTTGTTATTTTTTTAATATATCTTTTCGAGATAATTTATTTTAATGGTTATATTATTTTTTCTATATATTTTTTAAATATATGGTTTTATATATTTATTTTTTACATACTTTTCTAATCTTTTGATCTTCTCATAATAAGTACTATTACTATCATATTTTTATCGAAATAAATGGATACAAAATTACAAATAGATTACATTTAAGAAATTCTAAAATTTTCAAATATTAAAAAGACTTTTTACTAAAAATGCTTTAGAATTTTAGATGAAATTTAATCAAAAATCTTACTTGAGAATTCTCAAAGAAGATCAAAAATTTTCATCACAATTATATATTTACAACATAATTTCATTTTATTATTTAGACATGTCGATTAATCTTAATTAATTGCTTGTCCATATTTAATTTCTATATGTATTTAATTAAAATAAAATTTATTTTCTTTACCCCCTTTTATTGTATATTTAATAATGACACTCGTTTCACTGTACCAACAAAATTCCTAAATTCGCCTTTAATTATCTATTCAAAATTAACGATGAGTTGTTTTCATGCTAATCGTCAATACCTTGATTTGACAAAGATATAAAAATTTAGGTTAGGTTTATTATGATTAAATTAATGACTTATAATAAAAAAATTCCCGAACATTATTAAATTTTACTCTTCGTTGCAGCAGTAAACTTTTTTTTAAACATAATTCATAATAGCTCGCATATGTATAATTAAATCATTTTTAGATTTAATTTACTTTCTCTAAAATGTTTACTGAAATATGTTTAAATAAAGAATCCTGCATCAGTTATTTTATATTTCAACTATCTATAATATCTTTTACATATTTATTTCAAATCTATAAGTAAATATATTTTAGATATTTATTCACTTTAGTGAACGATCTAAAAATATAAGAGAGAGTTAATGTTGAAATATAAATCTATCAAAGTATTTTATAGTTTTTTGAAATATATTTCTGTGAAAATATATTTATAAACGAAATAAATTTTTCTCATTTCTCAATGTTACAAGCGCAGATTAAATATTATTAGCCCCCATATTTATATACATTCTATACATTAACTAAGATTATATACCAATCTAAGATTTTTGCAAGAGGTGAAGGCCTATGGGTAATTTTACGTTAATTTTATTGAATAATGTTAGGCTTCTTCTTTGAAGGCCTCTGGTCAGTTTGTATTTTAAATTTTCTTTGGGTTTATACTCCCTTTTTTTAAATTTCTCATGAATTTTATATGGTCGTTATAATATTTACTTATATTTTTTTAGTATCATATACGCATTTTTAGTTTTTTGATAGGGGTAAACTCTTTATTATTTTCAAATAATATTTACCAATCCAGGCTAATTTGGTAAAAGGTGTGGGGAAACCACCCCTTCCCCTGCTCTATTTAGACGCTTGAAGATAATTTACTAATTCACCTTACGGCTAAATTTTATGTTAAAATACATTTTTACGGCATATTATTAACACAAAATCTATAAGATCTTGCCAGATTTTATCTCCTGACAATAGATAACTAAAAAACGCTAGAATTAATTTACAAAATCAATTTTTTATTTTTATTTTCAATTTTATAAATATAATATATAATATAATATAGTATATTCTCAAAATATTATTTACTTCCATTTTTATAAATATAAGTTTTATTTTTTTTATAAATACAATATAATAATGTAGTATATTCTCAAAATATTAGCTTTACCATGCATTATACAAATTAAAATTATCACAAATGCAATATATTATATTCTCAAAATATTATTTGCACAAATCATTTATAATATCAATTTGTAATATACTAATCTGTTTAGAAGAAAAAAATTAAAATGTGTAATATGCTTATTAAATGATAATACTCGCTTACAAACGCGGTAAAATACCGAATAGGTCAATTTTTGTATACACCAGATCGAATATAATTTAATCCGCCGGGCCTAAAATTATTAAACCCAGGCCGGTCCATAAAATTTTTTTTTTAACCCTTCACTACAAAGGTGGGGTAAATAATACCCCACGGCTTTTATAATCTTGGTAATAAAAAAACCTGAAGATATTTTGACCTAGTTTTTATAGTAGTTTAATATTTTCTTATAAAGAATATATCTACCAAATTTCAAGATAATTGATTTGATATTTTTTAAAATATTTGCAATTTGTTGAGCTTGGGGTAGTATAGGTCCCACCTTTGTACTTAAGTAATTTTTTTTTTCACAATTTTTTTTTATTGATAAATATTATTGTATATTACAAACTAATATATAAAATTGAAAAAAAAAATTTTATTTGTAAATTTTTCATTGTTATATTGTTACTCAAAATTTTAAAATTTTATACTATTTTTTTTTCTTGTGGAGCAAAATACTATAAAATTAGCATATGGAAAATTTAATATCATCAATTGCTGGAAGTATTTTCTATTTAATATTTGATATTTATAAAATTTATATAGGTGAAGTAGATTTTGAGTCAGATGATGATTATTTGTATAACAGCAATCACAACTCGGAGACAGAGGAGGACAATATAGATATTATGTGTGTGAAGATAGCTATAAATATTGTCACAGTAAAATATGCTAGTCTTTAATAAATTATATAAAAATATGAAGGTAAAGATGGAAAAACTAAATGTAATATGGAATGCCCTACACAAAAAAGGACAAGATCCCATAATATAATATTATGTTTGCCAGGGGTTAAATCTCATGCAAAAAATGCAAAATCACCATAGAAAGCCTCAAATTATTCATTTCACCTAATATTACAGATTTAGTTTTAAAATATACAAATCAAAAGATTGAGTCCATTGAAAAAGATGACTCTGTTTATCATGCCAAAATGGATGAAAATGAATTGAATGCCTTAGTTGGTTTACTAATGATAGCCGGAGTTTATAAATCCAGTCATCAAAATATAAGAGATTTATGGAATAAGGATGGATTTGGTGTTTATTTAGATATACTATGAATATAAATAGATTCCAATTTCTATTGAAAGTGCTTAGATTTGATGATATGAATACAAGAAATACAAGGAAAGCACTTGATCATATTAGAGAAATTTTTGATATTTTTAATGATAATTGCAATAATTCTTATTCTGCTGGACAATATGTTACTATTGATGAAATGCTTCCTGCATTCAAAGGAAAATGTCCATTTAGGCAATATATGCCAAATAAACCATCAAAATATGGTCTGAAAATATATGCTCTAGTTGATTCTAGAACTTTTTATACATTAAAAACAGAATTATATACTGGCAATCAGCCAGATGGTCCATATAAATTGTCAAACAAGCCATTTGATGTAGTTGAAAGACTAATTCAACCAATTTCAAAAAGTAAGAAATATTACAATGGACAATTGGTTTACTAGCTATGAATTAGCTAATTATTTATCTTCACATTCCCTAACAATAGTAGGGACTATTAAAAAAAAATAAAAAGCAGTTACCTGCATTATTTTTTAATAAAAAAAGAGAAATATATTCAAGTTTATTTGGATTCAAAGAAAATACTACTATTGTTTCATATATACCAAAATGGTATAAGAATGTAGTGTTGCTTTCAACACTACATTATGATAATAAAATTGATGTAACAACTGGTGAATTGTTAAAACCAGAAATTATAACTATGATTTAACCAAAGCAGGAGTTGATGTAGTGGATCAACTTTGCTCAATATATTCCATATCTAGGAGATCAAATAGATGGCCACTTACCATTTTTTATACTATGATAAATATTTCAATAATAAATGCCCTAATAGTTTATAAAGCCAATAATTTGTTGAATATAAAAAGGTCTAAATTTATAAAATTATTAGCTATGGAACTGATAACTCCATTTATGACCAGTAGATATGAGAACCCTCGTACTATTACGTAACAACATAGGGGACGTTCTCAGCATAATTGATGAAAAACATATTCCAATAAATAAAAAGGGAAGATGTTATGAGTGTCCAAGGGTGAAAGATAAAAAAAACAACAATAATTTGCTTAAATTGTCAATTTGCCGCGAATGTTATCTCAAAATTTTACATGATATTTGATGATTAATATTTTTTTTGATATATGATATTTTTTTATAAAATTTATGTAATTATCATTATTCAACATTGATTTAATAAAATATTTAATAAAATTTGCATTTTTTGAATTTTATATAGTGATAATACCATAATTAAAGGAAGTACTCAAAAAGAAAATTTTATTTCAGTAACTTTAGGAAAATTTGTCTAACTTTTTTTTGGAAGTAAATATTAATCTAAGATTTTGTATTTATTATCTCCAATATTTTTTAAATATATACTCAAAATTTTAGATCTCATTTTTTAATATGTTCTGAGATATAGCTAATCAAAATTTGGGGTATAATAGACCCCACCTTTGTAGTTAAGGGAGTTTTTTCCACCTTGAAGGGTTAAATATCCGGGCCTGGCTTGCAAATGATACTTCTTCAGGTCTCAGAAAAATATATTTAAAAATTAGCATTCGTAAAAAATAAATATATAAAAAATTATTTTAAAATAATACATTTAAAAAAATTAGCTATCAAAAGATACATCAGAAAAAGGTACATAAAAAATAAATATATAAAAAATCATTTAAAAAAATTAGCGTTCGCAAAAATATATCAGAAAAAATACATAAAAAATAAATATATAAAAAATCATTTAAGGCTGTGTCCATGTTGAATAATAAAAATTATTTAAATATCTAATTTTCCAACTATTAATTTGTTTCTTATTTTTGAATTGACCTTTTCCAATAAAAATAAAAGTTAAGCTCAATTACTCAAATACACAAAAATAAGAAAAGCTCAATGCAAAAATAAGAAACAAATTAATAGTTGGAAAATTTGATATTTAAATAAATTTTATTATTCTACATTCTCCCTCTTCTAAGAAGCTTTCTCATAATTTCATGTAAGCTATCATTGAGAGCTTGTTGTCCAAATGGTTTATCGTTTTGGCTGTTCTATATCGCATTTGATTTTATAGGTGTGTTTGTCCAATTTTAAGTTTGTACATTGGTTTGTCCAATCGTTAGCTTGTTATCCTTATCGTAAGTTGTTTTCATCGATCGTAATTTCGTCATGTTAGCTTGCTTGTCGCACTCCGTTGTTATTATTGATTTTCAAAATTGTTATCATCATTTAGTTATGAATAATTAGGAATAATAATTGATCGAATTGGATATTAGAATAAATGAATTATCGGAAATATGGAATGAGTCAAATTGAATAATCAAATATTGGAATGATAAATGTATAAGATTATTATATCATATTTTTTATCTTACTTTATTTTCGCATTTTAATGTTAAATATTTATTTTATATATTAATATATAATCTTTTAAATAAATAGGTTTTTGTTTTATTCGTATTGATCTAGAAATTGGTGTTAATTTATCTTTATTTATGATATTTTTATTTATGTCCACACATCCCTCCTTAAAAGAATTCTTAGAGTTAGCATCATAATTTAAAAATGTATTATAACATATTCTTTTTCCTAACTGGTCTAAATGTCTCCTTATAATACCTTTATCTGTCTTAACTTGGAACATCATGTCATCTTTGTGTGTGATCATGCCTTTATCCCATTTATCATCTTTTTATACCAAATAAAATCTCCTACATTCAAGGCTCTATTATGTGATAATGTTACATTATCTCCATTTTCTTTTTTCTCTAACGGTTTTAATAAGTCCCATTTAATTCTAATGTCACGATTAAATTCTTTTAGAAGATGCAACTCTGTTGTAGCATTTGGTGTTTCTGTAATTAAATAAGAATTTATCAAAGGAAGTATCTAAATCACTCTTTATATTTCTTTTCATGTGCGTCTACCATACGTTCCACCTAGCCATTAGACTTCTGGTAGTATGCGAACTTAAGTATATGTTTTAGGAAGTAATCATTGCAAAATCTCTTAAAATCATTACTTGTGAAGTTAGCACCATTATCAGTAACTATTGTTTCAGGTATTCCAAATAGCGAGATAGTTTTAAAAATTTCTTTTAATGTAATTTCAGTTCTAATGTTTTTGACAGGAACAATAATTGGAAATAGATATCGACTATTACAAACCAATTCTTTGTGAAAAACGGACCCGCATAATCTATATGTATCCCTTCAAATGGTTTAGTTACCGAAACCCATACTTTTTATATTTTTTCAGGATTGTCATAATATTTATTACAGTCGTCTAAACTTTTTACTTTTATCTTTATGTCGTTATTCATACTGGACCACTACACGTAATCTTTGTATAAGGATTTGATTTTTCCCAGTCCTAAATGACCTTCATGTAATGTCTGCAATGCATTTTTTCTCATACTAGATGGAATTATGATTTTGTTGTTTTTGTAAAGACCTTTAATAATACTTATTCCAATTCAATATTTTTATATACTCTTGTTTTTTATAGGCTCATTATTCTTTATATCTTTTATTTGCGATATTTCAAATTCAATATCTTTATAAGTTTCATCATGTATGTTATTAAAGTTAATAGGTATATATATATATATCCCCTATGTCATTTGTAATAGTAATATTTTCAACAACTTCAACATTATCTTTTTGTGGTAATCTTGAGAGACGATCAGGAACAACATTGTATTTTCCAGCTTTATACTTTATGTTGAAATCGTAACCTAAAGTTATATTCCATTTTTGCAGTCTTAAGAACATAGTACTGTTGTCCTTAAGTCCTTTGGTAAAAATATGAACTGTATGTTTATGGTCAGTAATTATTGTCAATTTAGTACCAATTAAGTATTCCTGGAATCTCTTGATTACAAAGATAATAGCAAGAGCCTCACGCTCAATATTGGTGTAATTCATTTCTGATCCCCTCCTTACAATTGAATCTCACGTTACAGGACCCAATAAGGTTCTTGATGCAAAAGTTATTGGGTTTTCTTTGCCGTATTTTTTAGTGTGAAGCAATACAGCTCCCAAATCACATTTAGATGAATCAGTTGCAATTCCGATTGGCAATTCAGGGTTAAAATATGTCAAAGTTGGAGGAAGACTAATCAACTTCTTGAAATTTAAAATTTATAGAGTGTTTGAAGTTCCTTACCCATTTTTCTTTGTTGACAATTTTATATAAAGGATCAGCAATTTCCGCAAAATTGTTTTTTCTATATTAACCAATTATTCCCAGAAATGCCGATAATTCAGCAGCTGTTGGCTCTGGCATATTTTTACTATTAGTCGTAGTCATGGAAATCGACTAAAAACTTTAGCGACTAAATTAGTCTATTAGTCGACTAATTTAGTTGACTAAAACGACTAACATAGTCGACTAAAACGACTAATTTAGTCGACTAAAACGACTAATTTAGTCGACTAAACCGACTAATATAGTCGACTAAAACAACTAATTTAGTCGACTAAAACGACTAATTTAGTCGACTAAGTTGATTTTTTTAGTTAGCAGCATATATAGGTAAAGGTAAAAATATATATCGTAAACATATTAAGTTAAAATTTCAGTGAAGATGTACCATACAAAAGTGACAATTGTCATAATCGTTATTTGTGAACTTTTTTGAATTTTTTTAAAACAAATAGGTAAAAATATATATAAAGATGTTAAAATAAAATTTCAGTGAAGATGTACCATAGAAAAGTGACAATTGTCATAATCGTTATTTGTGAACTTTTTTGAATTTTTTTAAAACAAATAGGTAATAAAATATATTGTAAAGATGTTAAAATAAAATTTCAGTGAAGATGTACCATAGAAAGGTGACAATTGTCATAATCGTTATTTTTGAACTTTTTTGAATTTTTTTAAAGTAAATAGGTAAAAATATATATTGTAAAGATGTTAAAATAAAATTTCAGTGAAGATGTACCATAGAAAGTGACAATTGTCATAATCGTTATTTGTGAACTTTTTTGAATTTTTTTAAAGTAAATAGGTAAGAATATATATTGTAATGATGTTAAAATAAAACTTAAATGAATATGTACCATAGAAAAATGATAATTGTCATAATCGTTATTTAAAATATTTTCGAATTTTTAAAAGTGCTAACGGATCTTTGAAAAATTTTAACAATAGGAAGGCTAACAAACTTTTAACTTTTATTTTACATTTAAAATTCATTAGATAAACATTAAAAAATATATGCTTATAAAGAAATTTTTAAATACCAGATTATCGATAACTGTTTCGGATGTTATCGTCGGAAAAATTAATGAGTTAATAAAAATACTTGTAGGATTTGATTGCAATTATCGGGTTGAAGCATTTCGTCCTATAATTGATAAAATTATAAACATCATAACTGTTTTTTTCGACGAAAAGAGAACTTATTTTGGATATGTAATATTTACTTCCTACATTTTGATTAAAAAAATAGTAAAGGTATTTCTGAAAAGGCCTTGGAAAAACTTATACAATTGGCAATATCATCATTTAAATCGAATATTTTTTTATGCTTACTAAATTATGAAATTTTTAGTAAGGGTGAAACTAAATAATTTATTTTTTATTAGATGCTTAAAAAATTTGAAGAATGGGCATATTTAAATTTATATGGGGGGCGAGTTTAAATTTTTTTATATGGGCAGGGCAAGACGAAAAGTCTATAAAAATTATTTAAATTTTTATTTCACATTTTTTTACCCATGATTAAATATCGCTTCAATAACTAAAAATTCTGCATTCTTTATGATAAAAAAAATTCAAAGGAAGACGCATTTAATTTAATTCAATTTATTAATAAATAAACGTACACATAATATAAAAATATTTTTATTAAAATACGCGGAAATATATATTTAAAAAATGTTAATATAATATCATTATAAAAGTTCTATGTCCCAGCAATCAATAGATAAACATTGTTTCAAAGTGATGGATGAAAGGCGGTTATGTTTTTTAGTCATGCATTCCACCGCTTTGCTAAAGATTCTTTCGCTGGCAACACTCGTAGTTTTCTGAGCCAAAAAGTCTCTGGCCATTAAAGACAAAGTTGGATATATTGAGCTGTTTTTTTGCCACCA